GATCGATGAAAGCTGCAGACAACTGAAGTCAATGCTGAAAGAATTGACTGACTAATCCAAGGCAATAAACATACCATTTTCTGTCTTTCAGCTTGACCTAGTTTGTGATGACTTACAATACTATAAGATCTGTGAAAGACAGGTTTCTGCATGTATTAATGTCTGACAACAAAGAGGATGGCTCTATTTTTTGGAACTGTTACAGGCAAGAGGACAACTTTCTCCAGTAACTTGTTACAGGCGATGAGTCATGGGTCCACCATTTTATACAACCAGAACAAAAAGACCACCTTTATGGAATGGAAATATACCTCTACCAAAAACATGAAGTTTAAGGTAACACCATCTGTTGGCCATGGCTACAATCTTTTGGAATCCATGGATTTATCCCACTTGAAATAACATATTTGCTGTCAAACTGAAAGCTGCCATTACTAACAAAAAAAAAGTGTGTCAGTTGTTCGGGTCTCCAATTCAAGCGAAACTTGATATGCATGTAGCCCTAAACACAAACAGCTCCTTGTCCAAATACATAGGACCCACTTCTCAAGATTTCCAAAAAAAAAACAAGCCTGTGAAAATTGAGTGTTTAGCTTTTAAGTCTTTGGAAGTTTTCAGAACAGCAATAGCAGAATGGATAAAATGCTAGACACTGGAACTACAAGATATAGGTTCAAACATTTACAACTTTTGTTTTCTTTTTAAATATGTAACAATTATTTTTTCATATCATTAGCATTATTATTCCTCATGTTTAAAGCTCAAAATGAGAAAAAATTCATTTGTGTTTAGGGCTACATGCTCACCAAGTTTCATTCAAATCAGAGACTCAAACATCCAACCTTATAAGTGGGTTGCAGAAACAAACTGGAATTTTTTGATGATTGAATGAACAAGTATTTTGCATGTAATAAATGATTGAACAGACTAAGTGATTCTGTTAATAAATACAGAATTTATCTGCAAGAAATTTACTGTGGAAATAAAAACAGCAAAACTCTTGAGTACATAGGTGCTCAAGAAAGACTTTCATAATTTAAGTCACATTCATATGACTTAAATATTATTGTTGTTTACTCTTGAATTACTCCCCATTGGAAGCAATGCACCTTTACCAGCATCAGTATCACTTGTGAAAGACAAGCTAGGAACCATCTTTCTGCATGGTCTTCAAAATCACTTCCACTGCTTTTAGGACCTCTTTGAATGGCATTTACAACCTTGAGGTTTTACAAGGTTGGAAATAGGAAAAAATTATAGAGTCAAATCCACAGACAAACAGTTGCAATCTGCTTTCTGGCTGAGGGTTGTCACTGTCACATGTAGACAAGCATTCTCATGGTGCAATTTCCAGTAGGATATGGGCACTTCCTCTGGATATCCTCCACTAGATTTTTCAATACTGACTCAGTATACTCTAACAGTCATTTCTTGTGATACTGCTTGCTTATACACATTCTTTGCCAGTCAAAGAAAATGATCATAACTTTTCTGGCACACATCATAACTCTCTTTCTTTGGTGTTGCAATTATGGAAATTTCTACAGAACTCTTATTTTCCAGATCATGATAGTAAAGAAACTTCTCATCCGTAGTAAAATTTGTAATTATATATATCCACAGTATATAATCATAAATTTCAGTCTCTGTGTCTGTCAGCAAGGACTGTCAAAAACCCACATAACCATTCAAACCTGCTTTTCTTCTGGCATCAGCTATCTAGGCACCCAGAACAGACCCATGGCATATGCAGATATTTCAGCAAAATAGTGTAAAAACATCACATGACAATCTTCATGGACAATTCCACTTGCTGTTCCAACCATTACTTGGTAACCTTGGTGACTGAAATGCTAGAACCTCTTTCTCAAACAATTCACAAAACTGTTCTAACCACCACTGTGCTGCTCTAATGGGAATTAGTTTCATTGTATTGAAAACGTTGACAATTTCCCAAAGCAAATGCAAAATTTCAAAGTCATGCACTGCTCCATCAAAATATTTAGTTGTATGAGACTGAAGACAGACAACACTTTCCCACATTTTTGCACAGTACCAATCAGCAGGATGACACTGGACTTGTCAAATTTTGATGGAAGGAGCAAGTTTACTGAGTTTTTATTCATTTGATTCCATTGTTATTTCAACCGAGAAAAACCATGCAAGTCTTTCTTGAACAGCTCTCTTATTTGTCTGCATTATTGGCTTTGAAAAGTTATTTTTTGATCACTCCACATATAATTCTTTGCAACTAAAATTTTCATTTTAGATAATTACACTAAGTTGCTAAAGATCACACTAAATACATAGCAAGTATAATATATATAATTTTTATAGATGAGTTAAAATTTAACTATTTTTCTCAAAAATCCATGCTCTGAATGAATTTTTGAGAGCACGGATTAACTACTATTATAACAATATTTATGTCTTAAATGCTTTATATATTTAACAAATCTGTGATACAGTGAATCCTGTTGTTGAAAATTCTAGAAAAATATTTTTTTGCTTAGTTATAAATTGTAACCTGTAATGATACAGAATAAATTGAATAGGGAAATGTAAAAAAACTTATAAAAGTGCTCTTTATTAAAGATGCCAAACTTAAATAAGAATATAGCAAACTGTTTATTGGTGTGAAAGCTGATACAACTAACACCCAATAAAGTTTGCTGTATTATAAATTATAAAAGAAAATTCACATTAAAAAAAATCCAGCTTATATAAATAAATATAAATGTGTGTTTGTTTGGTTTGTGTGTGTGTTTGTTTTCCTAAAATTCTCAATGTTATATATTTTTATATAAAATTACTGAATTATTGTGAGAAAAAGTTAATAGATCAGTCATAATTGAATAAATCATGTTATTCATTAATATTCATAGTTTTGATTACATATCTATATGCCAATCTACAAAATTATGTTAAGTAATGAAATTAACTAGTACCAGATTAACACTCATTAATTATTGTTTCCATTTCTCCACAAATTTTATTTTCAATAAAATTACAAAAACCATTTTAGCGTTTTCTATGCAATTGAAGAGTATTCCTTCTCTTCCAGCAGCCACGTCTGGAACCACCAATAGTTTTGGTGTATTTGTGTCCTTTCCCCAGACCTCTTGATTTTCTTCCTGCAGATGTCAGGCCTCTCAGTTCACGATGCTTGTGAACAGCCTTACAAATCCAGTTGATCTTTGCATCTCGTCGAATTCCCTTGTGGAAAGGATCTACCAGGACAACTTCAAAAAATTTATAAGTTGAATCCTGGGCAACCCAATAAGAATTCAAGACTCTAAGAGCTCCACAACGTCTTCCAACTCTTTCCTGAAAATAAAATATTGCATTTTGTAAAAAAGAAAAGAGAAAATTAAACTCAATTAAATTTAAATGTAAATCAGACATCCAAGGAAACAGTAATCATTATAAATCAAGATTATGTTTATCATCATTAGAATAATTGGAAACTTAATTATCTAGTAAACTACATCAAACCTTAAAATCAACTTCATTTTTATATTAACTTATCACTAAAGGATTATTAAATTTTATCTGTAGGTGACCAAACTCAGCCATATTTGCTGATTACTAAATAATCGTGTTTATCTAAATTTGACTTGCCATCAACTTAAAATAGCAGGCTGATTTATATCAAGCCAAATGAAAAGTTACAGGGGTAGCACGACTGAATAGTTACAATCTCAATGACCTTCAATTTCTTATCTTCAAAACTTTGTTTTTGCAAAAATGTAGTTTGCTTGCATTCCTTTGTACTTCAGTACAGCATAGAAGCTGAAAGATTAAGGCTTATTTTACAGTGTTGCAGAGTAGCATCTTAACGGGTAGCTAGTCTTGAAGTAACTCCTAGCACTAAAACTGTTTTTGAAGGGCTATGTTATAAGAAATTGAATCCTCTAGGCTTCTAGAACACGGTAAAACTATTGCCCCCCTTTCTTACACAACACCCTGTATAATATCAATTTTAACAACTTTTGCACTACAAAATTATTTTTCATGGGGTTTAAATTTTTTTTTATAAAAAAAATTTATATTACAAGCTAATTATTTTACATTCACCAAACTTNTTGGATAAACGGTGTGGTAATGCATGAAGGACACACACACACATTTTTATATATATATAGATGAAGTGAAATATAAAAGTGTTATTCTAGAGTTTGAGATATTACTTTCTAAGATCAGTAACAGTAAGTCTTCAACAGCTACTCTGTAGGTGATTGGTTATGTAAAGATTCTACTTTTGTTCCAGCAGTTTTCTGTGGCATACAGTCGACCCCCCTATAACACTGTTGATTATTCTGTTTTATATGAATTCCATGTTGTACAAGTCACTAAGATTTTACAAATACGTGAACCATTCACAGCCCGGCACACATATTTGTAAAATCTGACTCGTACAACATGGAATTCATATAAAACGGAATAATCAACAGTGTTATAGGGGGTCGACTGTATATATCACAGGTTATTTACACAAGATTACAGTAATTTGTTATATTAGTGGATTATACAATATAAAAACTAGTAGATTATAAAAATATGATATACAGTATATAAAATTTTCTTTACAACTGACTGAAAAAATTGAAAAATCATTCATGCTGCCTACACAAATTATTAATTGTTGTAATACAGCAGACCTTCCTTTTTACCTATAAGTGCTATTAATATTTAAATTTGAAAAATATATTATTTATGCTTCAAGATTATTTACTAATTTCCTAACAACATAATTATAATATTTATAAGCAATAGCTAAATTATATAAATGTTTGAGAGTATCTTCTAAAATATTCTTATAACAAATTTTTAGATAAATTGATGATAATTTTGACAAAATTTAGATTTTATGTTTTTTTTTTTTACTAAACTGTATTGATTTCTGATATTAAAATACACCACATTAAAGTTTAATATATTAGAATATTTAATATTTATTTACATTATTTGAATATGATGATAAATTTTTTTCTTTCAAGTGTTAACAGAAATTGCAAGAAGCAGTAGAGGATTTTGTGAATTGTCTGGAAGAGTGCAGCCATTAGTTGGAGATGTTGTTATGGCTTTAGTTGAATTAGGTAAAAATGATTAGTTTTATTCATTAATATTTAATTAATTATCATTATGAAATACTTTGAGTTAAGTGGAAAGTAGTGCAGAACACTGGAAATTTTTGTATCCAGGTATCCAAGATAATTTGTAAATCCCATGTTCTCTGAATGTGTTGGTGTTATTGGGGATCCTTGAGTTCTTAGAAAAAAAAAACAGCATATTATATAGTGAAATAAAAAAAAATGTTTTTCATAGTAATCATATTTATTAAAAACACTGACTAAATTTTAAATTAAAATCATTTAAAATTTAAAAATGTATATGGATAGTAAGTAATAATTTGGTGGACTCCCTAAATTAGAATTAAAAGTTTTTCTTTTAATGAGGTGTATCAGGTGAACTTTGAGAAACACTGGGTTAGCATATAATTTTAAAAATTATCTGCAACAGTCATTAAAAGAAGTAAATACAGTAGAGCGTCATTTATCCGAATCAATTGGAGACTGGGGTTGTTCGGATAACCGATTATGTACGAAAAAATATATTAACCTATCCCATGTTGAAATTTTTCTTCGTTGCGTGTCGCTTTGAGTTGAATTTTTGTCGATGTTAAGCCTAACGTAAACTTTTTTAAATAATAATCGTGGCTATTGTATCATTAAAAATGATTTCTTTATGTTTTACAAATGAAATATATACATTGAAAAATATAAAAACAAATAAAAATTATACTTTAGGCCGACTGGAATTCTTTCGGATAAACGATGCTCTACTGTATCTGTAGTAATTTTCAAAATATTAAAATAAAAAGGGGACATAGTTCAATCACAATTTACTCATTGTAATTTTAGGTGATTTTATAATGCAGAAGATGGATTGTTTGGTTCTGATCACATGTCAGTGATTTGTATATCTAAATTTTAGCTGTGGTACAAATTTACAACAGTTTACTTAAGATACAATAAAGAGAGCAGTATTCCATACACTATAGTAAATTGTTTTGTGAAGTATGGAATATTGAGGGAAATAATGTGTCAATTGGCATGTTTAAAGTTTAACGTTTAACATTCACTTAAATCTTATTTGTGGTTTGATAAAGATTTCTTTGTAATTTAGTAATTCTGCAGTCTAAATTGTTTTAGCTTAAGAGAATAAAGGATGTTGAATTTCTCTATGAATTTAGGGATTTGGAAAGAAAATTCAATTGCTTTGCAAGATAAAGGAGACTTTTTATACTACAGTAGAGCATCGATTATCCAACTCAATTGGGGACTCGGGTTGGTCGGATAACTGAAAAAATCGGATAACCAAAAAGAATGAAAAAAATGTATTATTAGTGTAGTATATCCCATGAATTAGTATATTGCTATTAATCTACTTTGCGTTGANATTATGTTTTTTTATTTTGTGCATGTTATAAGTTATAAATAAATATAAACAAACAACACTAACCCGATAACATTAAATCTAAATACCAAAATGATTAATTTACTGTGTTTTTGTTATTTCTTACTCCTGTTTTTAGGTATTCGGCCGAATACCGAATAGTAACCGAATATTTGTTACATCACTATTAGTAACTTCAGATTGCAGGTCAAATATTTGAATAATTCAGAAAAACAAATACATAAAATTCTGAAAGCATATTAGAAAAATAAACTCTATAAAGTAAAAAACTATGATTATAATGGAAACAAATACATATTTCAATGAGAAATCATCATGTTTATTTGATAATTTTTCTATCAGAAGTTCATAATTAGTGGCCTTTAAAGACTATCAAATATCTAAAAGCACCATCTTGAAGTTGTAGATTTTAAAATTTATAAAAACCTAATACAGAAAACCCTTGATTTAACTTTAAAAATACTACTACTAGAACTGGCATAAACAATAATCTTACATAATACACCCAAATTCCAGCATAATGAAATGGTTAAAGTGTTGAACAAATGTTTTCAGTGATCTTAAGCCACTGTATTTAGATTCTAGTCTTTAAAATGGAGAACAATGCCTGTAAAAGAATATTTTTAATTTTGATTAAAATAATGCTATAATGTACATTTTTATTCATACTTGTTAACAACAAACCTAAAATGTGATGTATGTTTTTAAAACACAAACAAAAACTTATCAGGTTTTACTGAGTACATGGGTAAGAAAATACATGGCTTATTTTGTATATTTATACAGTAGAACCTCCATTATCCGGATTGTTCAAAATAAACAAAAATTTTACGAATTTGCTGATTTGCACTTGGTGAATTACGATACTGTTTATGTACGTGATGTAATGAATAACTTTTTTTGTTTCAACAACGTCTCACTTAGCACAGTGGTCGTAAACTCTTAAATATATTTTACGTAGTAATAAAAATATAACTTGACATACGTATTTATAAATAATTTATATTCAAATTACATCATTTCTATGACCAAGGGCGGCGTAAGGCATGGACGACGTGGCCCACTGCCTATGCCACGCAGTCCGAAGGGCCTTGCGCCTCGAAGGTTTATGCATTACTTAAAAGCCGTGAACGCGACGAAAAAATTTTACTCATCATAAAACGATAAATAGTTTGTCAAATTTGTATTCATAAAAATACAGTTTCAATTGCTTTTTATTTTATAAAATCCGTCTTCTTGCACCACCAGAGGACCTTTTAAACAATAGGTAGTCTGTTAGCGTTGGTCAATAGTAGTCCAAATTCAATATAAACGTTTGTTTCTTGAAAATTTGATCACAATTTAAATACAGTATTTACTTTTAATATTACCGATATGTCATCGAAAAGAAACATGCTGTATTATCATTAAAAGACAAATTAAAGTACAGTAGAACCTTGATTATCTGGACTAATTGGGGATGAAGGTAGTCCGGATAAGGAAAAATCCGGATAATCGAAACAAATATTTTAATTTGTCTTTTAATGATAATACAACACGTTTTCTTTTCGATGACATATCAGCAATATTAAAAGTAAATACTGTATTTAAATTGTGATCAAATTTTCAAGAAACAAACATTTATATTGAATTTGGACTACTACTGACCAACGCTAACAAACTACCTATTGTTTAAAAGGCCCTCTGGTGGCGCAAGAAGACGGATTTTATAAAATAAAAAGCAGTTGAAACTGCATTTTTATGAATAAAAGTTTGATAAACTATTTATCGTTTTATGACGAGTAAAATTTTTTCGTCGCATTCGCGGCTTTTAAGTAATGCATAAACCTTCGAGGCGCGAGGCATAGGCGGTGGCCCACGTCGTCCATGCCTTGCGCCGCCCTTGGCCATAGAAATGATGTAATTTGAATATAAAGTATTTATAAATACGTATGTCAAGTTATATTTTTATTACGACGTAAAATATATTTAAGAGTTTACGACCACTGTGCTGGGTGAGACGTTATTGAAACAAAAAAAGTTATGCATTCCTTCACGTACATAGTGTCGTAATTCGCCAAGTGCAAATCAGCAAATTTGTAACATTTTTGTTTATTTTGAACAATCCGGATAATGGAGTTTCTACTGTATTTGTTTTGATTATCCAGATTTTTCCTTATCCAGACCACCTTCACCCCCAATTAGTCCAGATAATCGAGGCTCTACTGTATTTGCTTTTCTATTAATGTTGACTGGGCAATAGCAAACACCCCTTTCCCCCAATTAGATTGCTAAATGGAAGGTTTACTGTACTTACTAACCATTCAATGCTTGAAACTTTTGTTTGGGTCATAGGTTTACCATTGTAGGTCCATGTTAAAATTCCTCCCAACAAGGAAAACGGATCAAAGGTAGTGCTGGCAACGGTAGTATTGTATTCTAAAACTGCATGTAGTTAACTAGTAGTTGAAATAGATTAGTAGTTAATCACTGCCCATTACATTTTAAGAAAATATGTCAATAAGGCTCAAGACATTTAATCAATAATGAAATGGGTACCTAAAGTTAAGTTTTATAAAACAATTCTGAATTAGAGAACTTTCTGGATCTTCAAAAAAAGTCTGTACACCTTAAGTTAAATTGCTATGTATTATAAACTTATTTATTTCTTTCCTACTGTTATATATAACAGAAGGAAATATAGCATTCACTCAAAAAATGACCCCCAGAATTTTACATTTTTGGACTCTGGACCTTGAAACATCAAGGAATGCAAAAAACTTTAGGGTTTTCTCCCGTATGGATGTAAGTCAGTGGGGGGCATGATTTTGTTCATCCTCTTTGATGCTTAATAACTTGTGTTTTTAGTCAAAAATTTTCTGAAATTTTGCAGAGGGATTTTGTTTATTAGGGAATTGATGCTACTAAATTTTGGTGATTAAAGGTCAAGAGGGTGGGGAGATAAAGGGGGTCGGTGTATATCTCCAGTAGGGTTAAACTTAATGACAATTTTACTCATTAGTATTTACAATTTTTTATAAAACCCATCCCTATCCTCAAAATTAAGCATTTTGCCATTTTATAATAGTTAAAAATATAGAAAAGTTTTTTAAAATAAAATATAACAGATGGCACCACCAAATGTTGCCAGGAAAGTTAAGCAACTTTCTGGGATTTTGTAATTATGAAATAAATTAATGCACTATTACAATTTATTCTTTTCAAAAATAATAATTCAAATTTTGCTGTAAAATTGTCTCCATGTCAGACTGAACCCTCTAGTTCTCACCTCAAATTGCTTTTGGCAGAGATTTCTCCAATAGTTCAATATGGGTGTGTGTCATTTACATCATCCAGTAGTACCAAACATGACATTCAACTTTATTTGAGAGCTGAGCTTAGTAATATAGACAATTATTATATTTATCAAAAATATTATATATACAGATATCTATAACTTCTATTTACAGGATGTAATGAAACTCTGTGCCATTATTTTAGGGATTCTAGTATTATTAATAAAACTAACTTGTAAGATTAAAATCCTCTATATGTTTTTCAAAATAAAGCTCAAAAAGGTTATTTTCAATTTCCTGCCAAAGTACTAACACTTAAAGTTGTCAACTTTTTAACAATTTCA